TGTTCTCATCCAACTTAACTAAGTCATCCATCCTTAACGTATTGCAACAAAGGTCTTTGAAGAATCGACTTAGCTCGGTTAATGGTTTCCAAACCAAATTCGGCAATGAACGAAATGTAATTGGGAGTAAACACTCCATGAAAACATGACAATCATGGCTCTTCATCCCATGCATCGTACCCTTTTCGACATTGGCACACCTAGATAGGTTTGAAGCATAGCCATCTGGCATTTTCAATTCCTTCAGCCATTTACAAACCAACTTGACTTCAGGTTTGGTCAGAGTGTAGCTTGCCTTTGGTTTACCCCTCTTTCCGTTAGTTAAGGGTTGGAGCTCTAGGTCCCCACGAAAGCATAATTTAGCCAACTCTTCTCTCGCCTTTTCGTTATCCTTTGTTTTATCCTTAACGTTCATGACAGTGTTAAATATATTATCAAAGACATTTTTTTTTCTATGTGCATCACATCGAGGTTGTGCCTTAACAAGTTATCCTTACAATATGGGAGATCCCAAAAAATACTTCGCTTTTTCCAATTATGATCAACTCCATACCCTTCAAACTCTTTCCATTTTTCTTCCCATCCAATTTCAGTCACTTTTGGAAAATTACTTATTACTGCCCATATATCTTGACCTGTGGAAACGGGAGGTGGGTCGTCTTTCACAACCCTATTTTTTATGAAACTTTTTTTACTTCTTTTGAAAGAGTGATTAGTTGGCAAGAAACAACGATGACAGTTAAACCAGGAATTCTTATGGCCACTTTTCAAGGTAAAAGCATCTGTGTGTTCCATACAATGAGGACATGCCAGCTTACCTTGTGTTCCCCATCCAGATAACATACCGTAGGCCAAAAAATCATTAATTGTCCACATCAAGCAGGCTTTCATGATGAAGTTTTGTTTTGTGGATATATCATATGTCAAAACTCCATTGGACCATAATAGACATAGATAATCAATCAATGGTTGCAAGTAGACATCTATCTTCAATTTAGGATTGTGAGGTCCAGGTATGAGACAAGCAAGAAACAAGTATGGTTTGGTCATGCACATTTCAGGGAGAAGATTGTATGGAGTAACTATTATTGGCCAACATGAGTATGGAGAAGCAGATGCTTGAATGTAAGGAGTAAATCCATCTGAACACAAACCCAATCTTACATTTCTGGGTTCCCTAGCAAAGTCAGGATATACATCATCAAAATGTTTCCACGCTTTTCCATCAGACGGATGGCGAAGGACGTTGGAACTATTTTTGTTCATTTGATGCCATCTCATTTCAGTTGCCGACTCGGTTGATGCATATAGTCTTTGTAATCTAGGAATGATTGGAAAATAAAACATCCTCTTCGCTGGGATATCTTTGTATGTTCCCATGCCAGTCTTGCGAGGAATGAACCTAGGAGCATTACAAAATTTGCACTCAGACAACTTACTATCATCCTTGTAGTATAACATGCAACCATTCTTACAACAATCAATCTTCTTAACCTTTAGCCCTAACTTAGACACCAACTGTGATGCTTGGTAATAGTTCTCAGGCAAACATTTTTGAACCGGACATACACTTTTAAGCATTTGTGCAACAAAATCTAAACCTTTTTGTTGAACATGCCAGTTAGACCTAATTTCAAGAAGTTGAGTAGATATTGATAACATAGACTGGGTAGCTCCCTCATAGATAGGCTTGTTGAAAGATATCAACTTGTCATAAAACTGTTTAGCTTCTTCGTTGGGAAACTCATCCTCCAAAAATTCCTCTTGTTCCCTGTTATCATTCGCGTGAGAGAAACCTCCATGAGGCCTAAATGCATCATACACCATTTGATCCATTGCCTCAAACTGGTCAGCTTGACGCACATGTTCACTACTATTTGAGCCACCCCTTGTATCATTATTGAGCTCCACTTCTCTATGTTGAGTCCAAATCCAATAGTCTGGTTGAAATCCATCTCGATATAAGTGAAGTCTTACATTAGTTGTCGTACTTATCTTATAACACTTGCAATTTATGCACGGACACCTTATCCCTCCCTCATATTTACAAATGGGTTGATTCAAAGCCTTCTTCACAAACTTTTTAACCACACGAACAAACTCATTTTTCAATCCGTGTCTATCGGAATATGCTCTATTATACATCCAAGTACGATCCATTTTCTATATAGCAAACAATTACCATGTGAGTCACTAAACATTAAAACATATCTTGTCTAAATTTAGAGGAACTAACTTGTCATGACAGTAGGAACTTGGCCGTCACAATTCCAAACAATTACTAACTTGTCATGACAGTAGGAACTTGGCCAAAATCAGAGCTTTTTCAGAACCAAAATCAAATACTCAACAATAGCAGCAAATGAATCAGTTTGAAAATCACATACTCAATATAAGCTTTTTCAGAGCCAAAATCAAACAGCAACATCAGAGCTTTTTCAGAACCAAAATCACATACTCAACAATAGCAGCAAATGAATCAGTTTGAAAATCACATACTCAATATAAGCTTTTTCAGAGCCAAAGTCAAACAACAACATCAGAGCTTTTTCAGAACCAAAATCACATACTCAACAATAGCAGCAAATGAATCAATTTGAAAATGACCACAATTTCAATATAAGACCAACCCTCAAGTGGAAACAAAACCTGAACAAAAACTCAAACCGAAACCTCAAGCAAATTCTGGTACCTAATATAATTCTCAATTGTTTGGTATAAAACGAGCGGGCCGAGCGATTAAACCAGAACCGAAATAATGTCATATACACATAATGTAATCAATAGTTGAACAAAAATCCAGTCACAGCAGAAAATGACAGCAATTAGATTCATTTGAAAAGGACTCAAAATTGTTACCGACAAGTGCGTCTCCACTACTTGCGAGTGAATATTGTGTTTGCTATAAGAATTCAAAGATGTAGCACGGTGAATAGAAACATTTAGTATTTTCTTCAGAGTTAGTGTGCTAATTTTTCTACTGTGTATTTTGAAATTAGTTTGAACTGTCATGGAATGTGGTTCAGATGTATGTTTGCTTGATCGATTTGGAAACTGATGAACGGTTATGGATTGTTGCTTTAATTGTTAGCAGTTTGAAATGTTTAGTTAATCTATTAACTAGTGAAATTGAGGAAGTGTTAAGTTTCATGATGCTTGGGCTGTTAGTAGGTTTCAGCAGGCTGTTTTCGTATTGTGTATGTCATGTGTATGCATTGAATGTCATGACTGATAGCAGCCCTAAGGTAAGATAACAATACAACAATATCCTAGTAACAATATCAAAGATCATGATTTCAATACAACAATATCAACCCTCAATATAACATACACTTCAACAGTCTAGTAACAACATTTGCCCTAGTGACAGTCACAGATTATCAAAACTGTATACAAACTGTGATTAATTTAAACATTGTTTTCAAAATCAATTACCAATTTGTCAAACCAACACAGTTCTAACATGAAGATCAAGAGTTCAAAATATTGTCAAGTTCAAATCCTCCTACAACTAGTTTATTATGCATTTTAAAATGACAAATGCTAAATCCAAACAATTTTATGTTATGAAAATAGATTTGACAGCAACAAACATAAGCTTGACATAACAATGTCAATCCTCAACTCTCACCATCTGTTTCAACAGTATATATTACTAATATTTGGGATTTCGAAGTAGGGATTAGTATGAGTGGCTGCAGAAAGACAATAGAAGCTATTATTGAGCTTTCTTGTGGAAAAACAAACATGAATGATGTTTCCTGTTAAAACTGTGGACAATGAAGACCACATGTAAATAAGGATTAAAAGAAAGATTCAATACCCTTTTAGACTTCAAAATATTCAACCTCAAAATTATACTTCTAATAAGGGATTAACTTTTCTATATTAATCAAACAAACAACTGCATAAAAATTAGACTTTGAATCATTAAACCTAACAGCAACACAGATAAAAGCAGGGGATGAATCAAAAAGTTCAATTGTGTTAAATCTCAGTTAGGGTTGGAATTAGAAATTCATGAGTTGAATGCAAAACATCATAATCACATAGCTTTTCCCTAAGTGGCTAATCCCATTTTCTTGCATGAAAAACATAACAAAATCTAACCTTAAAATGACAAGCAAATGGGGAAGCCTGTTTTTTTGCGTTTGAATAGCCTTGGTATTGTCAATGCTAGTTAGCCTCGGTGTCGGTGGCCGAAGCTAAATTCGCAGCTAAAATGAAGTTTTCTAGTAGTGTGTGTACCAGAAGACTTATGCTAAGTGTTCCGGTTTGTAGATGAAAAATGGTAGTTCCGGAAGTATTCAAATGCAAATGAAATAGGAAAGAAAAATTTCTAAAATTATAATTATTTATACCAGAGTATTTTGATCCAAAATTTTTTAGTGTAAGAGTATGAGTATAATTGTAAAGGTATGAGATAAAATTTCCCCAATTCAATTCACCACAATTAAACCCATGGGGGCCTATGGTTTACTCCAAGCCCAAGAAAATCAAACTAATTAATGACATCTACGACATCATCAAAATCCCCTTTTCCTCTTCATATTTTTCAGCTTTACTTTATCATTCAGTCACTAGAAAATCGAGTTAAAATTGTGAGGAATTCAACCATGTGTGTTCATCGGAGAATGAAGGTGTTCCATCACAATACTCAGATGGTTCGATTCTTTACTGTGAATTTATTAGTGACTCGAATTTTCATTTAGTCAAATTCTGCAGGTTTTATTTAGTAGCAGACTTGTGTTAGGTATGGAGGATAAGTGCGTCTGGCCGTGAAGTGTGTCTAACGAGTACACGGTTGCCTCCAATTATGACATGATTATGTCCTTAGCTGCTGGGAACATTAATACAATTTTCTTATTATTTTTTCATCAATTTTATATCAGGCTTTAATTCAGGTTGCACAGGTATTTTAATAGGAGTACTAAAAAGCATAATATTAATCCAAACAACAAACTCAACTATTGATAAATGAAAGGTAGCAATTTCAAATATCACCATAGAAAAACTTCTTGAAAAGCTCCAAATGTGCAATCTGAAAATGCAAACACACAAGAATAGATCCATCTCCATCGACTAAGAAGAATCACTGCCCTATCATTCGGAGCCACGTCAGCTGTTCCAAAATAAACAGGCTTCCCCCATCCAAAATCAGCTTCATAAAGAGGCATATTCATCCAACTAGTTAAATAAAAATTAGGGTTCCAAAAATATGGAATGTTCTCACCTACAACACCTAAAAACAAAGCCCTTGCACCATCCAAATGTTTAAATCCTCTAATAATATCAAATTGTGACCTTATAAATTCATCTGTTACAATCTCTGTAGCTTCTCTTATCATTTGTGAAACATAACCTAATGGCTTTGACGTGATTTCTCCAATATACCCTTTTGCAGCTGTTTGTGTCAAAGCATTTCCAAAATAGTTTTTAGGAAGAGGTGGGATCATTCTTGTTCTAACATCAGCATAGAATCTAACAACACTCTCTTGATGTTCTTCAAGCTCACGTGCCTTAGATGCACATCTCCATACATGTGCACCAATTGCTTCATATCTACTAAAGCCCCTAAACCCTTTTTTCTTCGTATTATATTCATTAGCTTTTTTCTTTAACTCTTCAACCTGTTCTGGTGAAAGTCTCAATAATGTTCCTGAAGTTTTCTTCTTTTTTTCTTCACTTGCGTCTGGTCTTCCTAGAATGAGTGGAAGAGGCTTCAATTCCATGTGTTCAAAACGAGGTGCCAATGGAGTGTGTGGAAATTTGAGTAATGTTCTATCCAAAAAAGGTAACTCATTAGCCTCGAGTGTTTCTCCTCTAGCTATTTTGGCCCATGAGTTCATAAATCTAGTGGCTCCAAGTCCATCTGTTACAGGATGGAAAAAATTAACACCAATTGCAAAGGCTTCATAATTGTTTTGGAACCTTGTGAGCTGCACAGCAAATAATGGAATATCTTCAATGGGTTGGTTATAATCGATTAATGGAACAAGCTCTTTGGTGGAGTCAGAAGGTGAAAAGTCACCATAATCATGAATTCCTTTAATGGTTTGAGCTTCAAGCAAAATAACACCTTTTGCATTGAGATTCAATTCTAATCTAGCACCTTCCTTGTAACACAACCTACCAGATATGGGATAGTAATGAACTAGATTTTTGGAGAGAGAGTTTTTCAAGATTTCTATGGCATTTTCAGGAATCTGTTTTGGTTTGTAAATGTAAATAGTTCGTGTGTGGCTGATATGTACGACTTGATCTATATCAGAGAGCCATAAATGACCCTGTGGAGTAGTTTCGCATGGAATCACAGTGTAAGAAGCTCTAATGGTTACCATTTTCTTGTGCAGGTTTCGTTTTAAGCTTTATGGTGAATATGGCAAGATGTGTCTTCTATGCAAGATGTTTTGATGATCACAAGTTTAAATAAAGATAAGGAAATTATAATTGTCTTCTAAGAAAAATGTTTTGGTAATCACAAATTTAAATGAAGATAAGGAGATAATAATACAAGTTTAATAATTGGTCCGACATCTAAGATAAGTTTTATTTTGTCTCAAGTAATAATTGAAACTAATGTGAGCAATTTGGTCCGACATCTAAGATAAGTTTTATTTTGTCTCAACTCTCAAGTAATAATTGAAACTAATGTGAGCAATTTGCATACGGCAACTTAGGAATCTCCTGAGCATGAAGTGGACAGTTCTTTGAAAGGCACTAAAACCAAGGTACCTATTGAAAACATCAACTACCTACCTATTACTATTCATTGTTGCCAATCTACCATTTATACTCTTTTACTAAATTTTCATTTACACTACTTAAAACCCTTTTATGTAATTTATTAAATAATAATACATTACCCAATCAGAAGAACCCATTTTGCCAAGTGGCAGAAGTTTTTTAAAAAATTGTTACCATTTCCCTCTCACTCTCACCTTCTCTCTCTTTCTCGTACCCTCTTTCTCCCTCATTCTCGTCTCATAGGGTTCCGCCGCCGAAGCTCTGGGTTTGTCTCTCTCATTTTCAGTCAATCCTTTTATCTGGTAGACCTTTCTCTCCTTCCCTTTTTGTGGTACTTTTCCCCTTCTTCTTACTTTCTCTCTCACAAGAAAGATTTTCCCTTTTGCAGCAAAGCCTTCCTTCGTTATCTCACATCACTTCCTGCGGAGTACAGCTTTCAATGCACCCAAACGAAAATCGACGGATCTTTTTTCAGTTCAGTTCATCTCTTAGAGGTTCAATATTCATTATGAAGTTTGCATCATTAGTAATTTTTGTTCATTCTAACCTACCATGTTCATTATATTCCTCATCATCCTATTGTTCTTCTCTGCTGTGAAATCTACCATCTTCTTTTCGTGGTTGTGTTTTATGTTCGTGTTTTTGTTTTTTTGACATTTTTTCTGGAATGTTTATCTGGTTTATTCAAATTTGAGTGTGAGGCATATTATGAAATCTGGTTTATGTTTATGTGTGAGACAATAATATGTTTATGCCTGTGAAATCTTTGTTTAATGTTTAGAATTATTTTTTCAGTGTTTCCCTAATGTTGAGAATTTGCTTATGCATAGTTATGACAGTATCATGTTTATGATATCAAATCAGCTCAAAATCATGTCCAGGCCACCTATTCTTATCACTAACTTGAGTCCTGAAAAAAATGTTTGGAAAATGACTACACGTGTTATCGATCTATGGATAGTGAAGGAACGCAATAGACATCAACATCTTGAAGCTGTTATACAGGATGCAGAGGTATTTATTTTGAATTTGCTATGTTTTCATTTTATTATCCAATTTTAACTTACTGATTTGTTTTTAATACATATAATATATGTTTTTTTGGACAGTGGAAACTCATGACATTGCTAAACCCAACCTTTAGTAGGAAGAACTTAATATACTTTGGTTATCCTGGTTTTAATAAGTTCCAATTAAATTTCTTGAGTTATTTATCTGTGTTGTCTATAGAGTTGTGTTCAAATGCTTTGGTTTGGGGCATGTTTAGAGGATGGAGTTGTAAAATGAACAAATCGTTTTGTTTTGGAGCTTTTTTAAGTGATAGCATGGAATGGTCAAGTACCAATTTTCATACCAATTTGAGTGGTTTGAAAAAAATAATCCTTTCTTTTTTCAAATAAAAAAATGTTTGTTCATGGTACCCTTCCGTTCTATTGTTGCAACAATATCATTAAAAGAGTAGTTTTGGAAACACCATATTTTTAGTCATTGTTGTTACATTCAAACAATGTTGTGTGGCTTCCTTCAATTGCTTCAATAAAGTACATCAGTATTTTACAAAATCCAATTCCAAATCAATCTACTAGGAAACAACACTCCCCTCCTTTTCAAAACTCTCAAAGATCATCTTGAGTTGTGGGTGCTGAGTCAAGTGCATGGTTAAGGCAGTGAATATTTATTTTTTCTTGTCATAACTGGTAATGGTTTTGAAGGCCCTTGATGTTTTTTCTCGCCCCCTTCTAACGCGCCTTCTGCTGCACTCTTGGACACGGCGATTCCCTATCATGTAGACAAATTACAAACGTCAAATGATGAATGCGGCGAATTTAAATGCAACACCGAAGAAAGTTCCCAGAATGCAAGCAAAAAAGAAATGGTACATGAAACTGATGTTACTGATGAACATGAGAGTGCAGATGATCAGTTTTCTACAGTACCTTCGATAAAACGGGCGAAGATTCAATGATAGCATCTAGAGAATTATGCTTGAATTTTTGCATCTACTTATCATAATGATATACTCAACTTTAACAGTAGCTAACAATGCTTAGTAATACTTATTTTGTTTCATTGTTTACCTTGTGTTTCATTATTTACCTTTTGTTTCATTGTTCCCGCACTTGCATTATTTTGTTTAAAGGAGGAGCATGTGGTTTCATTGTTTAATAATGCTTAGTACAATGAATTATTCGTAATTGTGTTGTTTTTTCCTATCAATGAACTATCGTTGTTTTACATGTAAGTTTTGATAATGAAATGCTATGATTTTTCACCTGCTATGATATTGTTGTTTTACTGCTACAAACAGGTGACATAAGAGGATTCTGCCTTTGGTGCCATTACCGAGTACCTATGGTTGAGTACCTAGCTGTTGATTTCATTCCAAAACATGTATTTTATTGAAATAAAAAAGTTACCAAATAATTGTCTTTTCTTTGAGGTATCGCATGCTCTTGTGCTCTCTATTTCCTTATTGATTTGTTAAACATCCATGCTTTGTTAAAATACAGAATCGAGTAAATCAATGATTTATGATAAATAAAATTCGTTATTTCTCCTCATTAGTAATAATGTGAAGTTGTACTTGTGCCTTTGTGTAATAGTCATGTTTTGTTGTTCAGAACTTGCTTTGAGGAGGACAAGAATTTCCATGTTGTTTTAAATTCTGTAATAGCTGGCCGCTATCATGCCACCGAGTATCTGGGATCTGCCGCATTTAGTAAAGCAATTCAAACTCATGATCTGCATACAGGTGTGAATGTTTGTTTAAAATTATAAAGAACAACATAGATTTCTTTGATCAAAGCCTTGACGAGATCAAACTCCTCAAATATGTCAATAAGCATGATCCTGGAGACAAGTATCACGTTTTGCGGTTATATGATTACTTCTACTATCGAGTAAGTTATATTGTATTTGCTACTGATCTTATTAATACTATTACATTTTCCTTTCGATCCGTTGTAGTGCAACATCAGATATTTCCCTTCCAGGAAATTTTAACATTAACTTAATAACGATATACAACGAACTTTTCCACTCACCATTCCTTTCTGTTGTCGCACTGCAGGAACATTTGTTAATAGTATGTGAGCTACTCAAAGCCAACTTATATGAGTTTCATAAATTTAACAGAGAATCAGGAGGGGAAGTTTACTTTACAATGCCAAGATTGCAGGTTTGTCGGGTTCTGCTCAGATTTCGTTGTTTTTTGTTTTCATTTTGTCTAAACTAGCGTGCAGATAGGCACCGACACGTCGGTCTGTCTGTTTTTCCCTAATGAAGACCAGTCGGCTTCGATGAAAATTAAACATGAAGTTTTGGATGAAATTCTATTATTTATTTTAATTCAAAATTGAATTAAGGTTTGTTTAGATTTGATTTTTTAGATTGATTTAAGGATTATAATCTCTGTAGCACCGACACTTCAGAAAAAATGCGTGTCCGAAACCAACACAATACCGACACTTGTGATTATGTTCAATTGGTTCATTTTTTTTAAATTACTACCCGTGTCGACGTGTCGGTGTCGGTGTCGTGTCCGGTGTTTTTGTCTGTGCCCATGCTTCATAGATTATAGTAGATTTGAATTAAAAATTAAATTAAGATTAGATCAAATTTGATTTTATTCAAATTTGAAGGGTAAAAATTATAAATAGAAGAGTTTAAAAGAAGGCGAATATTTCCCTTCGTTTAAGCTCTTTTATTTTTCCGATGTTACCCTTCATTTAAACTTTTATTTACAATTTTACAATATGCTATATATGCTTGTATAAGAAGGGATTAAGTATTGGTTCTACTATTGCTACATTACAAATTACAAATGTGTTTTGATTTGTTTTTGCAGTCAATTACCATTCAATGTTTGGAAGCACTTCAATAATTACATAACCTTGGACTAATACATTGTGACTTGAAGCCAGATAATATTTTAGTTAAAGGATATAGCTGATGTGAGGTGAAGGTCATTGATCTTGGAAGTAGTTGCTTTGAAACAAATCACCTTTGCTCATATGTTCAGTCCAGGTCCCATCGTGCTCCCGAGGTTATTCTCGGGCTATCATATGACAAGAAGATTGATATCTGGTCCCTTGGATGCATCCTGGCAGAACTTTGTACTGGCAATGTAAGAATAATATATAAGTCTATTCAATTTCATAATGGCATAATTCATTTTTTTTTGAATAAACTTGAGTGTTGTTAAATAGGGGCTACAACATTGTGGAATTTGAACAAATTGTTTTTGTTCTGCAGTATGCGATTTAGTATTTCCTCCGGTCCTTAATATGAGAAACAATTCACTTTTTAAGATTCATTGAATCCAAAAAGTTAATTGTTCTTATAATAAGGGCCTGAGAGAGTACACAATGTTGTCAAATGGCAACTGTAGTGGCACTATAAAACTGTATGTTCTTTGCAGTTGTAGGGTTATTATTCTTTTCGGGTGAAACTGTGAAAGCGGATATTGAATCTGTATCTGTTCTAGGAGTGCTTTATTTTTTGTTTGTTTGTTAAATACACTAATAAAAGTTCTTTCTTTATTGATGATACTCAACTATGCCTGATATAGGTTTTATTCCAAAATGATTTTACT